CAGTGATTTCTTTAAGGCTATAATTCTGATAAATAAGTATTGTTGTGAGAAAAAGTGTTTTTAGAGAGTTTTCTATTTGAATAAATGTTTGTATAGGTTGCACTTTGTAAATACAGCTGTTTCTCGAACCACGCCTCTTTTGGGGAGATATTTAATATTCATAGGTATGTTAATTTGTTAACGTACTGGTTCCCATTGATGATCTCTGTGTTTCATCTCATAGAGACATCACTTGGGAATGTAACCAGTATAGATAAACATGGTAGCGGCTAAATTTTAATTCTTAGGAGGTCCAAAAATGGAGGTAAGGGTAGTATAGAATTTTAGTATAAGTTTAAACTCTTAGAAGTTCAGGGCATATAAATGTTGAAAATATGCCGCACAGCCCTATATTTTGACCTTTGAATAAAATAGTAGTGCATATAAACTTTCCGTTCTGGGATATTATTTTTCACGAAACTTCATAGTAAAAGTGTCACAGTTTTAGCCGCAAAGGGAGTTCCTATGGGAAATTGCATTGTCTGTATTTACAGAATTGCAACCTATATAGGGTTAAAAAATAGAACATACAGAATTTCACAAAATCTGGTTTATCTCAGAGATTTTAAAGAATTTAACTCAAATATGAAGTTTTATAAATATTTCATGAAGATTGAGAAAATCCTGGGCCTTAACTATGATGACTCAGCATAAATTCACAGTTTAAAGTATGCATGGTTTACTTAAAGCCCTGAATTCAAAATAAATTCATAATATATGCCTATTTGTAATTTAAATTGTTTAGAAGTGCTTATATTTACTCTTCGCAGTAATTGCAACTCATTGATCCTTCTTAAATATTTCTGGTGGGGTGTTTTTGTCCTGTCGATAACCCAAAAGTAAGCCGTAACGCCTAAATGTGCTTTTTTGTGACTGCGGCATAAAAAAGTACAAGCTAGAATTACAAAAAGACCTCAGTAAAACTTACAATAGTGTGTTCTATCCTAAATATGTAGTAAATATTTCACATTGCTAGAAACAGGGAAAAAAATTAGGAAATGTGAGGCCCCAGGGGCAAAAAACAGAGGAAAATGCCTACCCCTGAGTCATAAAACAGATAATTTAACTTGTAAATGCTATGATTTTTTTTATTTTAAAGGTCTTTTATAAAGTAAACAATAACTGTGCTAGGAAGTTATGCAAAAATCAGATGTAAGCAGTCATTTCAATCAAACTTTTAGTGAATTTATGCACCAGACTGATATCTTCATAAATACAACTTTTGCAAATATGCCTTTATTTAAACACTCCTAGGACATATATTAACTAACTTATGTTAAATATATGGTTAGGGATGATACTGTTGTGACAAGAATTCTAAACTGACCATTTGAGGCAGAAATTGTGAACTTTCATTGACAAATAGGCATACAGTAAGATGTGGACTGGAGACACAGGCAGGATTGGATACTTTGTATAATCTTGAATGTTGGAATGCTTAACTACTAAACAAAACATTTATAGTATTCTAAAATGCTTTCATTTTATCTTGTAAATGCTATGATTTTTTTTATTTTAAAGGTCTTTTATAAAGTAAACAATAACTGTGCTAGGAAGTTATGCAAAAATCAGATGTAAAAAAATCAGAAAATAAATCATTTTATCATTTTATTTGTTATCAGAATAGTTTCAAACAAGTTTTAGACAGTTCATGTCAGAAAACATGCACATAGGGTAAGCTGGCAATAATTAGAGTCTTGTTTTCAAAATCTTTAAAAAATTGAAACAGGGGTAGGGGTATAAAATGTACTGTAAAAGGAGACTTAGAGTATATGCAGTGATTTCTTTAAGGCTATAATTCTGATAAATAAGTATTGTTGTGAGAAAAAGTGTTTTTAGAGAGTTTTCTATTTGAATAAATGTTTGTATAGGTTGCACTTTGTAAATACAGCTGTTTCTCGAACCACGCCTCTTTTGGGGAGATATTTAATATTCATAGGTATGTTAATTTGTTAACGTACTGGTTCCCATTGATGATCTCTGTGTTTCATCTCATAGAGACATCACTTGGGAATGTAACCAGTATAGATAAACATGGTAGCGGCTAAATTTTAATTCTTAGGAGGTCCAAAAATGGAGGTAAGGGTAGTATAGAATTTTAGTATAAGTTTAAACTCTTAGAAGTTCAGGGCATATAAATGTTGAAAATATGCCGCACAGCCCTATATTTTGACCTTTGAATAAAATAGTAGTGCATATAAACTTTCCGTTCTGGGATATTATTTTTCACGAAACTTCATAGTAAAAGTGTCACAGTTTTAGCCGCAAAGGGAGTTCCTATGGGAAATTGCATTGTCTGTATTTACAGAATTGCAACCTATATAGGGTTAAAAAATAGAACATACAGAATTTCACAAAATCTGGTTTATCTCAGAGATTTTAAAGAATTTAACTCAAATATGAAGTTTTATAAATATTTCATGAAGATTGAGAAAATCCTGGGCCTTAACTATGATGACTCAGCATAAATTCACAGTTTAAAGTATGCATGGTTTACTTAAAGCCCTGAATTCAAAATAAATTCATAATATATGCCTATTTGTAATTTAAATTGTTTAGAAGTGCTTATATTTACTCTTCGCAGTAATTGCAACTCATTGATCCTTCTTAAATATTTCTGGTGGGGTGTTTTTGTCCTGTCGATAACCCAAAAGTAAGCCGTAACGCCTAAATGTGCTTTTTTGTGACTGCGGCATAAAAAAGTACAAGCTAGAATTACAAAAAGACCTCAGTAAAACTTACAATAGTGTGTTCTATCCTAAATATGTAGTAAATATTTCACATTGCTAGAAACAGGGAAAAAAATTAGGAAATGTGAGGCCCCAGGGGCAAAAAACAGAGGAAAATGCCTACCCCTGAGTCATAAAACAGATAATTTAACTTGTAAATGCTATGATTTTTTTTATTTTAAAGGTCTTTTATAAAGTAAACAATAACTGTGCTAGGAAGTTATGCAAAAATCAGATGTAAGCAGTCATTTCAATCAAACTTTTAGTGAATTTATGCACCAGACTGATATCTTCATAAATACAACTTTTGCAAATATGCCTTTATTTAAACACTCCTAGGACATATATTAACTAACTTATGTTAAATATATGGTTAGGGATGATACTGTTGTGACAAGAATTCTAAACTGACCATTTGAGGCAGAAATTGTGAACTTTCATTGACAAATAGGCATACAGTAAGATGTGGACTGGAGACACAGGCAGGATTGGATACTTTGTATAATCTTGAATGTTGGAATGCTTAACTACTAAACAAAACATTTATAGTATTCTAAAATGCTTTCATTTTATCTTGTAAATGCTATGATTTTTTTTATTTTAAAGGTCTTTTATAAAGTAAACAATAACTGTGCTAGGAAGTTATGCAAAAATCAGATGTAAAAAAATCAGAAAATAAATCATTTTATCATTTTATTTGTTATCAGAATAGTTTCAAACAAGTTTTAGACAGTTCATGTCAGAAAACATGCACATAGGGTAAGCTGGCAATAATTAGAGTCTTGTTTTCAAAATCTTTAAAAAATTGAAACAGGGGTAGGGGTATAAAATGTACTGTAAAAGGAGACTTAGAGTATATGCAGTGATTTCTTTAAGGCTATAATTCTGATAAATAAGTATTGTTGTGAGAAAAAGTGTTTTTAGAGAGTTTTCTATTTGAATAAATGTTTGTATAGGTTGCACTTTGTAAATACAGCTGTTTCTCGAACCACGCCTCTTTTGGGGAGATATTTAATATTCATAGGTATGTTAATTTGTTAACGTACTGGTTCCCATTGATGATCTCTGTGTTTCATCTCATAGAGACATCACTTGGGAATGTAACCAGTATAGATAAACATGGTAGCGGCTAAATTTTAATTCTTAGGAGGTCCAAAAATGGAGGTAAGGGTAGTATAGAATTTTAGTATAAGTTTAAACTCTTAGAAGTTCAGGGCATATAAATGTTGAAAATATGCCGCACAGCCCTATATTTTGACCTTTGAATAAAATAGTAGTGCATATAAACTTTCCGTTCTGGGATATTATTTTTCACGAAACTTCATAGTAAAAGTGTCACAGTTTTAGCCGCAAAGGGAGTTCCTATGGGAAATTGCATTGTCTGTATTTACAGAATTGCAACCTATAATCGTAAGCACATAATTTTAATACTTTAGGAAAGCAATATGAATTTGAGCATTATGAAATAGCAGATTTATGGCATCTACGCTATCAATATTTTTTTTACTAAGAACGGCTTAACAGTGATTAAACAGTCTCCGGGACAAGTTTGCACTTCCGCTGAGTGCAAAAGTTGTCACCTTAATTTTTGGAGTTAAGTCAAAATGAAGTTGATAACTTGGTTGGTATTGGTTCCCTGATATTTGTCCTAAAATTTTTTGTCTCTAGCACCACTGTTGAAAAAGTTATGCCCCTTTTTTCAACAATTTCCTCAGAGGAAAAGTAGTTTTCCTCAAGGGAAATCAAATTTCCCTAAAGGAAAAAGATTTTTCCTCAAGGGAAATTGTATTTTCCTCAAGGGAAAAAGATTTCCCTTAGGGAATTTGCTGCATTAATATTTCCTTTGAGGAAATTCTATTTCCTCTGAGGAAATTTGCGGCTTCAAATTTTCCTTTGAGGAAATTCTATTTCCTCTGAGGAAATTTGAGGCTTCAAATTTCCTCTGAGGAAATACTTTTTCCTGTGAGGAAATTTGCAGCTTCAAATTTTCCTTTGAGGAAATACTTTTTCCTGTGAGGAAATTTTGTCAACAGCAATTTCCTGTGAGGAAATTTTTGACAAACACTTTTCCTTGAGGAAAAATTCAAGACCACAAATTTCCTCTAAGGAAAACATTGTTCTCCAAATTTCCTCTATGGAAATTTCTGTTATTTAATTTCCTCTATGAAAATTTTATAACAGTAAAAACAGTATGAATATAATTTTTCCCGAGACTGAATAATTGATACAAAAGATAATTAAAACTTTAATAAAATGTTCACTGATGAGTAACATGACATACAAAAACAATAGGCTAGCTGTTTGAGACAATACAATAATAAGCAAAACGCTATGAATATAATACTATTTGTGATGTTATTAATATTGTGCTCATATTTGCAGATTTATAAATAAAATAACCACTTTTCATGTTAATTTAACTTTTCTTCTGTTTAAGCTGCTGCGTACAATTATTCAATCTTTTTCTACATTTCTCCATAATCCTTCAGTGAATATGTAGGTTGTTGCAATTACACAATTGTGTTCTTGTGCATCTATGATTGTACTCCATTTTGTTTACAGCCAATTTGTAGAAATTTCCTATTTTCTTTTTCCAGGTAAGCACACATTTCATTTCACATTAATCCAATTAGCACACAATGTAGAAAAGTAATAACCTTAAGTTTCCTCTTCTGTATTGACCTGTTGATGATCATGAAAACCAAGAAGTCTCACCTATAAATACACAAAATATAAATTGAGAAAAAAACAGCAATATGAAATAAGCTTATTTTATCATGTTTAATATGAACATTTTGAGAAACTTAAATTTGATATTCTTACTAATCATTATTATGAGTTCTGTTATTTCAGTGCTTTGTGTCCACGACTTATAAATATCAGTCGTTTTAGTGCCTTGCAGTGATAATGAGTTGAGCCACTTGCAACAGTTTTTACAGTTTGTTTATATGTTGTGCTATTTGAACCACTGTCCTAGATTATGGTTAGGCGGAGTGCTCACAGACATGATTTTTTTATTAATTGTTATTGGCTTTGAACTAATTTGGATTGTTTAAATCTTTTCATGTTGGGGTCTTTATTGGCTGACTTATAAGGTATGGGTTTTCTCATTATCGAAGGCCGTCATTGATCTTTAATTGCTTGCATCCACTTCAATGAACTCTGGTGGATAGATAACTCATTTACCATACCACATCTTCTTGTTTTTATAATAGTCATCATTCAAGGGCAATCACTTTTATTATATAGAAGTGGTCTTACCATTTAGGCCTTGTTGTCTTCTGTTTATCTTGTTTTGCCGATCATTTCTACTGTACAGTTGTAATTGTTTATATTTTTCTTTATCTTCTATATTTCTTGCCCTAAACTTAAAAAAGGTAAAAACTTTAATTTAATGACTATAACTATTATTATACATCAGTATGTGTTTTTCTATATACCATGATATAAAAAAGGAATGAAATATTTGTGCTATTTCATTTCACAGACTATTTGCCAGTCAACAGTTTCAAAGACATAACCACGGTCAATAGTTTAACAAACAAACATTCCCGTACTTTTTCATCATGTTCATACTAATTTTTCAATGGACAACAATGACGTGATTAACTATTCTTCTATGATTTGTGTGCTTGACAACATTAAACTCTGAAATATTGCTAACGGTATAATATGTATGTGTCTATCGTCAAAATTTCAAAATAATATATTACTTACAGAAGCAATTAAAACAAGAGGCTCACAAAATGAATGTGGTCTAAGAACTTAAAAATTTCTAATTTACCTATTCAAACCATATCATTATTATTTGCTTTTATATATAAATCAGAAATAACCAATTTAAAATGGAAAATTTTAAAGAAAACAAAAGGAAAAAAAAATCCCCCCCAAATTTTTTGAACCCCCTTATGATTCATCACCCCCAAACTCAATCCCAGCCTTCCCTATGTGGTATGGTACCTTACAGTACAATTTCAGAGAGATCCATACACTTGAACACAAGTTATTGTCTGGAAACTGGAAAAATGCTTGTTTTTTGGCCCCAAATTCCTAAACGTTTAGGGCAATTACCCTAAAACTCAATCCCAGCTTTCCCTTTGTGATATGGAACCTTGTAGTACAATTTCATAAAGATCCATACACTTACACACAAGTCATTGTCCTAAAACTAGAAAAATGCTTGTTTTTTGCCCCTAATTCCTAAAATTTTGAGGCAATTACCCCCAAAATCAATCACAGCCTTCCCTTTGTGGTATGGTACCTTGCAGTACAATTTCAGTGAGATCCATACACTTGAACACAAGTTATTGTCTGGAAACTAGAAAAATGCTTATTTTTGGAGCCTTATTCCTAAACATTTTATGCAATTACCGGGTACCCCCAAAATCAATTCCAGCTTTCCCTTTGTGATATGGAACCTTGTAGTACAATTTCAGAAAGATCCATACACTTACACACAAGTTTTTGTCATGAAACTAGAAAAATGCTTGTTTTTTGCCCCCAATTCCTAAAATTTTGAGGCAATTACCCCCAAAATCCATCCCAGCATTCCCTTTGTGATATGGAACCTTGTGGTACAATGTCAGAGAGATCCATACACTAACACACAAGTTATGTCTGGAAGTTACAAAAATGCTTATTTTTGGCCCCTTTTTGGCCCCTAATTCCTTAACTGTTGGTACCTTCCTTTTGTGGTATTGAACCTTAAGGTAAAATTTCATAGAGATCCATTCACTTAAACTAAAGTTAGAGTGCGAAAACAATGTGTCTTCGGCCGACGACAACGACACCAATGTCATACCAATATTTTGACCGCAAAATTTTTTTGAGGTCGTATAAAAACTGCAACGTTTCCTTAAAATTACCAATCTAGTGGCAGCAACCAAATAATGGATTGTTAGATTCATCTGAAAATTTAATGGCTGACATAATGAACAATTTTACCTCACATAAGATTTGCTCTAAATGCTTTAGTGTTTGAGATATAAGCCAAAAACTGCATTTTACCCCTATGTTCTATTTTTAGACATGGCAGCCATGTTTATTGATGAAACAGAATATAAAACACAAGCTTTATTCTAAATACCCTAAGGATCATTCAGCCTAGGTTTGGTTGGAATTGGTTCAGTAGTTTCAGAAGAGAAGATTTTTTAAAAGTTAGAAAACATGATAAACAAATTGTGTAAAATTGTCTTTAAAGTGCAATAACTCCTTGAGGGATCCATTGACAATTTTGGTTATAGAAACTTATTTGTAGATCTTACTTTGCTGAACATTTTTGCTGTTTACAGTTTATCTTTATCATTAATAATATTCAAGATAATAACCAAAAACTGCAAATTTTCCTTGAAATTACCAATTTAGTGACAGCAACCCAACAATCATGACTATGGGTTATTAGATTCATCAGAAAATTTCAGGGCTGATAGAACTTTGAACACCTAATGAACAATTAACTCTGTGTCAGATTTGCTCTAAATGCATTGGGTTTTGAGATAAAAGCCAAAAACTGCATTTACCCCTATGTTCTTATTTAGCCATGACAACCATGTTTTTTGACGAAACAAAAAAACAAAACACAAACTTTATTGTAGATACCCTAAGGATCATTCAGCTTAAGTTTGGTAGGAATTGGTTCTGTAGTTGCAGAGGAGAGGATGTTTGAAATAGTTTACACCCGACGGACGCCAACGGTTGACGACAGACAACGACATACGACGACGGACACCAAGTGATGGCAAAATCTCACTGTTCCTTCGGAACGATGAGCTAAAAAAGCAAATTTAAAAAATTGCGCTGGCTCTATCCAAAAAAGATTTTTACAGTGTAGTGTACTACTTTTGGGACAGGACATATTAACATAATAGAAAAATCTATAAGCTATCTCTCAAAATATGGACAATTTTATGTTTAAAGGGTTTATAATTTAGTTTGACAACTTCAGACATACTAATATTCGACCTTTTCAAACTATACCAAATCACTTCTTAAGGAGGTTCACTACTCTGTTTCAAAATAACAAGCTTTTTAAAAGACTGTTATAAATTGAAAGTATATGAATAAAGGAACTAAAAAAACTGAAAAAATGAAGAGTCCGTGTGCTCGTTTTTAAAATATAAGCCATTAAAAATTTGGCGGGAAGTGATTCTCTCTAGATCTTAACACTGGCACCTTTTTCTTTCAAAAGCTATGGAAAAATAACAAGGATTTTATAAGATTTTCAAATATGGCTTTTTAAACTATGTAATAAAAATATGAAAAGAAAAGTAGGGGTTTGCGGCCAAAAATTTTTAATGGCACTGCATGGATAAAACCAGAGGATTCCGAATATCTGGTAAAAATTCAAAATCAAGAGGAGCGAACATCCTTAACCTAAAAAAAATTGCCACATTTTTTTACAATGTAATTTCATCCGTAATATTTAAAGCAATAAATTTGGAAGGAGTATGAAAATAATTTGCAAGTTATACACTATCCACACTAGAGACCTAATAGAGTAGAAAAACTAATTTTAATCAAACTTGGCATGAACTAAGATTAGGGAATTACAAGACAGTTTACCTAGTTTCATGGCAATAGCATATATACATTAAAGACTATAAGTTCATTCTTATGTATGAACTTTGGGTGTTAATTTTTTAACGTTTAAAGTTAAAGTTTAACTATCAAGATTTGGGCCTACATATAAATTTAAATATTGCAAAAAATTGCTTTTTAAATGTCTTTATAACTTTAAATAATTTATATATAATATTGTGTATGTCACATTTATGTACATGATGTATTTTAATGTAAAGCAGCTGAATACTCATTTGCTGTCTCAGATTTATTTCAATTCTTCAAAAGTCGAATTTATATGAGCCTATGCCTGAAAATAAAGATTTCAAATTAAGGGGGGGGGGGGGGGGGGGGGGGGGGGAGGGGAGGAGGCTAATATAATATAAAAATTCTTCATGTATATTTAAAAAGTTATTTGTATTTCAAAAGGTAAAAAAGTTACTTATCTGCTTATAGCATACCACATGAGTAGAACAAGGTCCCATTAGCATGATTAGGCCATGCAAGACTGAATAACATTTAAGGTCAATATAGGCAGTAACACATTTTTACATATATATGAAAAGGCATACACATAAGCGTTGGTAATTTGTAGGCTAAGGTGACATCATACAAGAAGTATGAGTGATTCTCAAACTAAAATAAAATAATTTCATCCCCCTACTTCATTGTACTTACTTTTTATGTATAAAAAATATATGAATAACTTTATTGCAAAACATGAAACCCTGGCGGGTTAAAATGCAAACATAGTACATTGTATACACAAGTGACAAGAAACATAATACATGATAAATGTTTTAAACAAGTCAAGTTGATATTAATAATATATATATATATATATATATATATATATATATATATATAATAATTGACCAATGTGGACCTTATTTTCGCAATTCCATAGATTGCTTTATATAGTCTACAACACTAGACATGCTAGACAAAATATCTTTATTGGGATCTAGAATAGTTTGAAGTCTAGAGTTTGAGTCAAGCTGGTTAAAATTAGGATAATGGGTTTTAATTGCATTTATAAGGGAATGTCTTACATTACTGTTAATTTGGCAATGAAGGAAAAAGTGTTCCTCATCATCTGAAATTTTACAAACTTTGCCGAGTCTGTGTTCTCTTTGAATTTTTTTTTAACGTCCTAATTCAATTTCCAAATTATGATCACTTACATGTAATTTTGTTAAAAGTTGACGACTTTTAAAATTGTTTAGATTGTGCAAGTAGTCCTCCAATTTAATTTCATTTTTAAGTTTACTTTAAAGATAAAGTTTTGAACTGTTATCAGTATTTGAAAGTTTTTCAAGAGTGATGTTATTATACTTTTCCTTCACAATATGTTTAAAAGTTTTTTTGAGTGAATTTTTTATTAGTTTAAAAGGTTTATCAAAATCAACATATTATTCTTCATCAATATCAAATTCTTTAAAAATATGCTTGGCAAAAGTATACCAAGTATATATTCCATCTTCAGACATAGACTTATTTACTGCAAAAGCTTCTTTAACAAGAGGGTTTATTTCATGGCAGTTTATTCTACAAAAATATAATAAAACTTGAGTTTTAATAAAGGAGTCAAGCGGAAATCGTCCTAACTCAGACTTTGCAGCTATATTACATGAGGTTTTTTTAATTCCAAGAACAGTTTTACAAAATTTATGATGCACTTTCTCAAAGCTGAATCTATCTGTCAATCATAAGGGAGCTACCATTTGATTTTTATGGGGGAGCTAGGATGAAAAATTTTGTCCTGCCTTTTTTTTTAGTTGTAATCTCAATCCTGCCTTTTTATTTTTCACTCTATTCGGTCCTGCCTTTTTTTTTAAAGTTTATCCTGACTTTTGTTTTACTTAAATTGTCATCCTGACTTTTTTTTTTGCAAGTGTCTCATCCTGCCTTTTTTTTTACTCAAAATTCCTGTCCTGCCTATTTTTTTTCAAATTTCATCCTAGCCCCCCCATAAAAATCAAATGGTAGCTCCCTAAAATATCAAATATAAATAAATAAATTTTGAAGTAATACCAGTCAAGGTCGTTAAAAAATTCCATTTGTTTGTAATACATGGTCCACACTAGGGAATCTTTTTGTAAAAAATGAAAATCAATGGATGATATTAAACTGTGTACTTGGACTAGCAATTAAGATTTCACATGCTGAAATGTCTCGTCAGGCCAATCTCAATCAGTGAAATAAATTATTCTTTGTTTTTTTAATTAAAGTCATATGGAAGTAGTCCAAACAATTATGACGCATTGCAAGGCTTTTTTTTCTCTCTCTGACGCCGTAGGAAGGAGAAGT